CCAGCAGGTCGAGGCTGCGGTGGCCGGGAGCGGCCACTGCACCCCAATCTGGGCAACAGAGTGAGACTCCAACTCAAAAAAAAATAACCCTCCCTGCCTTTTATCACCCACATTGTCACCACAGACTGGGTCCCTTTTCAAATGTCCTCAGTATCTATATTGCTTTCACAGAACCAGTGTTCGTATTGACATAGCACTCTCTCTTTTCTCAACTTGCAGCACAGACACTCTTCTTGGCTGTTTCTTAAGGGTGTAAAACTGGGCTAATTTGATTAGGGATTTTGAGGAGCACTAGAATATGGCCCCAAGTTTTGTAGGAACCCCCCTCCCCCAGGCTATTGGCTAACCCTATCCTGCTGCCGTGGCTAGTTCTCAGCCTTGGTCTTCAGAGCAGTCACCTGCTCATCATTCTTGGGGGCAAGTCTCCCATTTAGACAAGCAGGGGTTTGATTCTGGGAAGTATTCCAATGTATTCAGAGGCCAGTCTGGTGAACAAGACAAACTGTGACTGCTGTCTTTCATAAGAAGAATTCTGTATCTTTAACCTCAGTCACTGATTCTGAAGGGCTGGATGCCCCTCCCAGTTCTCCTACTTCCTGGGAGATGGAGATAATGCGGCTTTTCTCACAGGGTCATTGTGAGGGTTAAGAAAATGGGGTGGTGCTTAGGGTAAATGTTTTTTTGTTTGTTTGTTTTTGAGTCGGAGTCTCACTCTGTTGCCCAGGCTGGAGTGCAGTGGCATGCTCATGGCCACCACAGCCTCTGCCTTCTGGGTTCAGGTGATCCTTATGCCTCAGCCCCCTAAATAGCTGGAACTATAGGCATGTGCACCACACCCAGCTAATTTTTTTTTTTTTTTGAGTCAGAGCCTCACTCTGTCACCCAGGCTGGAATACAGTGGCATGCTCACAGCCACCGCATCCTCCACCTGCTGGGTTCAGGCAATCCTTCCGCCTAAGCTTTCCAAGTAACTGGAACTGCAGGCGTGCATCACCATGCCTGGCTGATTTTTTTGATTTATTGTAGAGACGAGATCTTGCCAAGTTGCCCGGGCTGGTCTAGAACCCTTGAGCTCAGGCAGTACTCTCACCTTGGCCTCCCCAAATGCTGGGATTACAGACTTGAGCCACCGTGTCACTCGGCTAATTTTTTTATTTATTGTAGAGTCAAGATCTCACCAAGTTGCCCAGGTTGGTCTTGAAACCCTGGATTCAGGCACTCCTCTCGCCTCTGCCTTGCAAAGTGCTGGGATTACAGATGTGAGAAATGTTTGCCCTCCTTCCTCTTCCCAAAGGAAAGTTTTTCATTAACAGGGCAGCTTCCTAGAATCTGTTTCTTGGCCTCCTGAGGCCTTACAGGTAACACGTAGGACCCGCTCCTTTTAAAATCAGTGTTACTATTTTTTTTTTTTGAGTTGGAGTCTCAGTCGGTCGCCCAGACTGGAGTGCAGTGGCCACTCCCGGCCACCGCAGCCTCGCCTGCTGGGCTCTGGCAATCCTTCCGCCTCAGCCTTCCGAGTAGCTGGAATTACAGGCATGCGCTACCATGCCCGGCTGATTTTTTGATTTATTGTAGAGATGAGGTCTTGCTGCCCAGGCGGGACTCGAACCCGCGGGCTCAGGCAATCCACTCACCTCAGCCTCCCAAAGGCGCGGGATTACAGGCTGAGCCACCGAGCCCGGCTCAGTGTTACTATTTTTGCCCCACTCCTCCTACACTGTGTTCACACATACATACTTCATGTGCTTAACAAACATCTGTTAGGACCTCTGGGCACAGAGCATTGTGGGAGGCAGACAGTAGATTTGGACGGGTGGGTTAGTGCTGACTTGGAGACGGCCTTAAACACCAGACTGGCTGGGTACGGTGGCTCAAGCCTGTAATCCCAGCATTTGGGAGGCCGAGGTGAGAGGATTGCCTGAGCTCAGGGGTTCAAGACCTGCCTGGGCAAAAGAGAGGATTGCCTAAGCTCAGGGGTTTGAGACCAGCCCGAGCAAGTTGGTGAGACCTCGATTCTACAATAAATCAAAAAATTAGCCAGACATGTTGGTTTGTGCATGTAGTTCCAGCCACTTGGAAGGCTGAGATGGAAGGATCACCTGAGCCCAGCAGGTCAAGGCTGAGGTGGCTGTGAGCATGCCACTGTACTCCAGCCTGGGTGACAGATTGAGACTCCAACTCAAAAAAAAAATCGAGTTCCAGCTACTTGGATGACTGAGGTGGAAGGATCACCTGAGCCCAGCAGGTTGAGGCTGCAGTGACTGTGAGTGTGCCACTGCACTCCAGCTTGAGTGACAGAGTACTCCAACTCAAAAAAAACAAAAACCCAAAACCCAGGCCAAGATGTCTTAGGATAGAGGTGAGACCTATTAAAGCCAGTGGTGATGCTGGAAACGGGTGACTGGAGGCAAGAGACCCAGAGGATAGTGATGAGTTCCCAGGCTGGCCAGCATGGGGGACAGACACTGCAGATGTCAGCATGGGGAGGGAGGGCCAGGCCTGAGGCTCTGACAGTGGGGAGACAAGTGAGAGATGGGATGGCGAACCCCGATGTCACGACTGGGGACACCTCACACACACAGACTTCCTAGTGTCTCCTCTCTCCCACTTCTCATACTCACTAGCTTGGGCTACTCTTTCTTACCTAGGTGTTAGCAGCATTTCCAGGCAAAGGAACAATCCCAGCCTTGCACTCTGGCCCTGCCACTTATGCTGACCTGCTGACTGACCCTGGGCAGGGCCCTGCCCCACTCTAGTGTCTGTATTTTACTCAGTGAAAGGAGGGACCAGGAGACAAACCCCAGCTTCCTTTCCACATTGACCATTTAGCCTGACAGATGGATGGGTCTCAGTTCTCCTGGGCTGACACTTTCTTTCATACTGAGCTGACATTATTTAGCCACAGGAAAGGAGAGGGTGCTCCGGACCCCATGTAATTTATGAAGTCTGGTGTGAGGGGTTGACAGGCTCAGCGTGTACTTGGCATCAGCTGGAACATGTATGTTATATAGGAGTGGACAAGGAAAGGGCAGGCTTTTTTTTTTTTTTTGAGTTGGAGTCTCACTCTGTTGCCCAGGCTGGAGTGCAGTGGCACACTCATGGCCACTGCAACCTTGATCTGCTGGGCTCAGGTGATCCTTCCACCTCAGCCTTCCAAGTATCTGGAACCACAGGCACATGCCACCACGCCCAGCTAATTTTTTTTTCTTTTTTGAGTCAGAGTCTCACTCTGTTGCCCAGGCTGGAGTGCAGTGGCACACTCACAGCCACCGCAGCCTCAACCTGCTAGACTCAGGCGATCCTTCCACCTCAGCCTTCCATGTAACTGGAATTACAGGTCCATGTCACCATGCCTAGCTAATTTTTTGATTTATTATATAGATGAGGTCTTGCCAAGTTGCCCAGGCTGGTCCCGAACCTGTGGACTCAGGCAATCCTCTCACCTCAGCCTCCCAAAGTGCTGGGATTATAGGCATAGGCTACTGCGCCCGGCACTAATTTTTTGATTTATTGTAGAGACGAGGTCTCACCAAGTTGCCCAGGCTGTTCTCAAAACCGTGGGCTCAGGTAATCCTCTCACCTCTGCCTCCCAAAGTACTGGAATTACAGGTGTGAGCTACCATGCCCAGCAGAGAAGGGCTTACTTTTAAACCAACAGGCCTAAGGTGGACTACTGTTCCCTCTCAGCCCACGAACCTACAGTTTATGAGTTTGGTGGATGCAAGTTTAGGTGTTAATTTATTTTTCTTTTCTTTTCTTTTTCTTTTTTTTTTGAGTTGGAGTCTCACTCTGTCGCCCAGACTAGAGTGCAGTGGCTGCTCCCAGCCACCGCAGCCTCGACCTGCTGGGCTACGGTGATCCTTCTGCCTCAGTCTTCCAAGTAGCTGGAACTACAGGCATGCACTACCAACGCCCGGCTAGTTTTTGATTTATTGTAGAGATGAGGTCTCACCAAGTTGCCCAGGTGGGTCTCGAACCCACGGGCTCAGGCAATCCACTCACCTCAGCCTCCCAAAGGCACGGGATTACAGGCTGAGCCACCGAGCCCGGCTTAATTTTTTGATTTATTGTAAAGATGAGGTCTCACTAAGCTGCCCGGGCGGGTCTTGAACCCACGGGCTCAGGCAATTCACTCACCTCAGCCTCCCAAGGTGTGGAATTATAGGCTGAACCACCAAGCCCGGCCCTTTTCTTTTTTTTAAGTGGAGTCTCACTCTCACTCTGTCGCTTGGGCTGGGTGTTGTGGTGTGACACTGCTCACTGCAACCTTGACCTCCTGGGCTCAGGGCTATCCTTTTATCTCAGCCTCTCGTGTAGCTAGAACTGTAGGCACGTGTCAGCATGCCCAGCTAGTTTTTAAAGTTTTTGTAAAGATGAGGTCTCACTATGTTACCCAGGCTGGTCTCGAACTTCTAGGCACAAGCAATCCTCTCACCCCAGCCTCCCAAAGTACTGGGATTGTGAGTGTGAGTCACTACACCTGGCCGGTGTTAATTTCTTGACAATACTCATGATTCCTCCCTTTTCCTGCCACTCCTATCCCCACCACTCCTGCTGTCTGAGCCCCTGCACCATCCTTTCTTCCTGTCATTGAGCTGCAGCTGGGGCTGGGGCTGGGGCTTGGGCTTGGGCTCCGGTTTGTCTGTTCTTTCTCAGCATCTGCACCTGGGAAAGTCTGGCTCTCATGCCCTTGGGAAAATGTACATCCTTCTATCAGAAACAGAAGGCCTGTATGGTGATGAGATAGGGAAAAAATACTGTCTGTTCACCCCCAAACCACAAGATGACGTCTGAGGTCTGAGTTGCAGGAGCCCACTTCTTATATGACCTCTGACCTTCAGCTCCAGCTCCTGGAGCATCCATGAAGCTAAGACTCTTGGGCTCACTCAGACCTTGTGTCCTTCTTTTTTCCTGTTAGGTCGACACTACCCCTAAAGCAAGAAGAATATGAGGTGAGTGTCAGCTGCTGATCTGAATGAAGGAGAAGGGTAAGGGTGTCCAGGGAGAGGGTTGTGGGGGCCAGGGACTAGGGCTGGGGCTGAATGAAGAAAATATTCTGAGCCCCCTGCGCACCCTGCCTCCGACAGGCCTTTCTGCTCAAGCTGGTGCAAAATCTGTTTGCTGAGGGCAATGACCTGTTCCGAGAGAAGGACTATAAGCAGGCCCTGGTGCAGTACATGGAGGGGCTGAACGTGGCGGACTACGCTGCCTCTGACCAGGTGGCCCTGCCCCGGGAGCTGCTGTGCAAGCTACATGTCAACAGAGCTGCCTGCTACTTCACCATGGTGAGCCCGACACACTCCTTCTTCTCTACCTGATCACCACATCCTCCTGGATGCCCAGTCCAGCCAGGTCCATACCCTGGTGAGCCTGTAGGCCCAGGGCCAGCCTCCTCCACCTCCTCACCTTCTCCTGTTTAAATCTCACTGTCTATTCCTATGACTCTCAATCCCAGCTGCACAACACATCTAGAGAGCTTTAAAAAGTACTGATACACCAGGTGTGGTGGCTCACGCCTATAATCCTAGCACTTTGGGAGGCAGAGGAGAGAGGATTACCTGAGCTCAGGGGTTCAAAACCAGCCTGAGCAACATGGCAAGATGATGTCTCTACAATAAATCAAAAAATTAGCTGGGCATGGTGGTGCATGCCTGTAGTTCCAGCTACTTGGAAGGCTGAGGTAGAAGGATCGCCTGAGCCCTGCAGGTTGAGGCTGTGGTGACTGTGAGCATGTCACTGCCCTCCTTCTTGGGTGACAGATTGAGACTCTGACTCAAAAAAAAAAAAAAGTACTGATGCATAATAAGAAGGTTTTTTTAAAAAAAATGATACCAATGCCCTAGCCACATCCCAAATGCATTAAGTTAGAATCTTGGGTTGACCTTGGGCAATGGTGGGAGTTTGACTTCTCCCACTCCTCCCTCCTGGCTTTCACCCTCATGTCCCCCACCTTCTGGTTTCTTCACTCTTTCTCTCCAGACTTCCAGTCTCTCCTTCCTCTTCCTCTCCTCCTTAGAACTGCAACCTCCTTCTCTTCCATGTCCTGCTTACCCACTGACTCAGTCATCCATCAGCTCCTGTGCGAGGCTTTGTTGTACGCTCTCTAGAGGACTCAGTAACACGTCTGCAGTCCAGGGTGGACTCTTCTAGATAAATGAGTCTCCAGATGCCTGAGGGTTTAACCCTTTACACTGTTGTGTGTGCAGAGCTGCCTTCACAGTTTTACCTCTTATCATTGTTACTCTCACCCATGATGTTCTAAACTGAAGGCAGATGCAGAAATAGACATGCTTGAGTGACCAGACTCATTGCTGTGGAACCTACAGGCCCCTCCCCTCAGTGTCCTGTCAGTCCTATTGCAGCCTCTTCATCTGGACACACCGATGCCCTTGATTAGAGTCAGAACACCATAGTGCTTCCTACCTTCTTTCCTGGAGCTCTCACGCCTCATCCCTGACCCCAGGCTTCCAGCCCCTCCATCTCTGCCAGAAGGGAGAATGGTGTTCAGTCCTGGAGGGACTGGGGGAGGGAGGGTGATAGGCACTGATCAGCAAGCCCCCTGCTCCTCTTTGGCAGGGCCTGTATGAAAAGGCGCTGGAGGACAGTGAGAAGGCTCTGGGACTGGACAGCGAGAGCATCCGGGCACTATTTCGCAAGGCACGTGCCCTCAACGAGCTGGGACGCCACAAGGAGGCTTATGAGTGCAGCAGCCGGTGCTCCCTTTCCCTGCCACATGTGAGTGCTTCCCTGTGGCCATGTTGGGACCCGACTTAATGACCAAGCTCTAAATCTTCGGCTCTGGTTCTCACTTGGGCCAAGTCACCACATCTTTCTGAGCCTCAATTTCCTCATCTGTGATATGGAGTTGCAGATACTGACATTGATATTACCTAACATTCTATGATTGTGTGCCAGGCACTCCTAAAAATGCATTGTGTGTATATTGACTGACTCACCTAATCTTTGCAACAATCCAACGAGGCAGTTAACTGTTGTTGTCACCATTTTAAAGATGAGGCAGTGTGGCTGGGCACCGTGGCTCACGCCTGTAATCTCAGCACTTTGGGAGCAGAGGCGAGAGGATTACCTAAACCTAGGGATTCGAGACCAGCCTGGTCAACTTGGTGAGACCTCGTCTCTACAATAAATAAATAAATAGGCCGGGCTCGGTGGCTCAGTCTGTAATCCCAGCACTTTGGGGGGCCGAGGCGAGCGGATTGCCTGAGCCCACGGGTTCGAGACCCACCTGGGCAACTTGGCGAGACCTCGTCTCTACAATAAAGCAAAAAAAAAACCTAGCTGGGTGTGGTAACGCACCTGTAGTTCTGGCTATTTGGAGGGCTGAGGCAGAAGGATCACAACTACGGTGGCTGGGAGCGTGCCACAGCACTCCAGTCTGGGCAACAGAGTGAGACTCCAACTCAAATAAATAAATAAATAAATAGCTGGATATATTAGCACATGCCTGTAGTTCCAGCTACTCAGAAGGCTAAGGCGGAAGGATCACCTGAGCCCAGGTCAAGGCTGCAATGGCCATGAGGGTGCCACTGCACTCCAGCCTGGGTGACAGTGAGACTCTGACTCAAAACAAAAAAAAAAAGAAGAGGAGGTGTGGAGAAAAAGAGACTTACTCAAGATCACAACAGCCAGGGGGTGGCAGAGCTAACATTTGAAACCAGGCAGTTAGCCGGGCTCGGTGGCTCAGCCTGTAATCCCACGCTTTGGGAGGCTGAGGTGA